ATATCCCACCTCTGCTGAGTCACTTTTTCTCCACCATAATGGTGTCATATTTCTGCTGAGTAATGTTTTTCCTAGATCTAAGACCGCCTCCTCTTACTAGGGTCATTCTCAGGACAAGCTGTAATTCCCCTAATTTTCCACTAGTGTTTTCTGAACCCATCCTCATGTTATTTTTAGAAATAATTCACAGTGAGTCCTAGGTACTTCTCCACCACAATGCTTAAGTGCTCAATAAGTGTGTGTGTGTCATAAGAATACATGAAATATTAAACCAGTGTAATTTGTCAGTTGCACATATTATATTGCTTCAACACATATCTTTTAAAGGTCAGCTAAAAGGTACAGTATATGTCTTCAGTAAATCAGTACATTACACTACACTGACCACTCAAAGCGCTTTTCACACTACGAGTCACATTCACTCATTCACACACACATTCATACACAAAGGGCTGGGGCTACCAGACAAGGTGCCGCCTGCTACTCAGTTTTTAACACACTCACACATTGAGCAATTTGGGGTTCAGTATCTTGATCAAGGATACTTCGACATGCTCTACCTCTGAGCCACAGCCATCCAGTTCTTGGTATAAGTCAAGCAAGTTGTATCAAGTCATTTTGTGTCTTAATTGGATGAAAATAAAAAGTGAGACTCTGTCAGTGTCTTCTGTAGAGAAGAGATGAACTTTCACTACTGCCTGAACGCACAGAGACTTTTAAAAACACCTTTCTCTCTGGTCTCCAGCAGATAGAGGTGAGTAGTATCTTGCAACGTACATGTGACCCACTTAAGGGTGGCATTGCGCGTCTAAACTCACTATTGAAACACAAATTGGCGTGGCATGACTTTACTGGGCAGCCAAGAGTAGTAATGGAAAAAGGGTATTACTGCCCCCTTCATCAGGCCCTGCCACTCTGAGTTGATTTGGCTTTTTGTCACAATAGAGGTGCCAAACAACATTAATCATTGTCTGTCTCTGCATGTGTGTATGTGCAACATTTGAGAGATCGTGACCTGGGACTTTGAGGTGCAGGAGGATGCTGTTCTGTAGTGTCTAAGCTAGCTGTATTCTGTCTTTTGGCTAAAATGAGGAAAGAAAGTCAATTTTTGGTTCATTGAAGCGTGAGGAGCAGAGGAGAAGAGAGAAGGACAGGAGGATGGTGCTGTAAGATCAGGTCACATTACTGTATATCGTTCAGGAATATGTTTGAGTTTGGAGCGTTCAAACGTGTTGGAGGTTTTGGATATTGGAAATTATGGACATTTCATGTAGGCTGCAGTGGGTTGCATGTCATATTTGTGGGATTTGATTCAAAGTGACAGCCGCTGGATGAAAACATAATGAGTGTGTTGTTGCCCCTCTGTCTATGTAGTTTTCCCGTTGTATCGGTCTTGCATCTCAGTAAGGCCTATAGGTCAGTCCAACACACTGTGTACAAATCAGCTGTACTGTGGTTAAGTACATTTTAAGTTGGATATTTGACAGACACTCACTCCAGACGACGGCTGCCCCCTAATAGTCGACCAGAAAGGTCATTTATCGGCAAGATTTCATTGGTTGCTTAGTGGCAGAAAATGACCCCACACAAATGGCAAACTCTATTAGGAGCTGCGCCTTGTCAAAATAAATCAAAACCTGTATGACTGGACCATGTTGGAATTTAATTTGAAAGGGTAGACACAGGAAGTGTCCACGCTCAGCAGTCTGACAGGAGTCAGGTTAATTTCCAGGGCTGGTACCTGCGGTTATTCCACAGGCTAGTTAATAACATGTCGGGCAGGAAATCCAAAGTGTGGGATCATTTTGAGAAGGTGAAGGACAAACCCAAGGTGACATGTAAACTTTGCAGGCAAACATTTGCCTATCATTCATTGACTACAAACATTATGCATCATCTGTCAGTAGCTACATGGCCATTAGCCACTTAGCACAATCATTACTGCTTTGCAGACAGCATCATTAACAGGCGGCTCGCTCAGTGTGTGATGTGCACTTGTAGATAAAATATAGGCCTATATTAATGAAGGTTCATTAGTACAGTTTTGTATTTCTCTGTAATGTAGCACAGTGTTAACAATGTTACTGATACTATTCTTTCTCACACCTTCAACTCAAACCACCAAAATATATCATTTAATAATTACATTAATATCGTAAACATGTAGGCAACTAGTCAGCTAATTGCCCTTAATGACAACTATTGGTTGACCAGGAAAATTCTTAGTTGGGCAGCTTCTTAGTTTTAGGTTTACTTGACATTGGCAGTAGGGGGACGGTAACATCACCTCGCAGCCCTGCTGTTTACTGCCAGCAGCTGACTTGGACCATCAGTTATACTATGAATAGAACCACATGCGCATTTGTAGAGCTGCAGCAGTCCACAGACAATTAGTGCTGAAAGTATGTCCTTGGGCCAAGCTACCTCACCTCTCTTCAATGACCATCGGCTCTGCCCCAATCTCACCCACTTTAAGGAACACATGAGTGAGTACAAGAACCACGAATTTGTACTGCATTAGTACTTGAGTTGATGTACTTAGCTACTTTCTACCACTGGTAGCTGAGTTGAGAAACACCATGAAATTAGCCAATGCTAGCTAATTTAGCTAACATAACATGTCAGGAAATTAGCTTTAAATGGTCCATAATGTTATCTACATTGTGGTGTTTTGTAAGGCAGCGGATACTGTGCCATTACCAGAGTGTTTGTGGTGTTTATTTCTTGAGGTATCACTGCTGCTGCTACTCCATTGCTAGGGACGCCATAGTAACGGCCTTAGACTGAGGAGCATCAAAATCAGTTAACGTTAGTCCACACATGATTTCAGTTTTTCAATATTAATTATCATTAGGCTGCCGTTGCCATGGATACAAAGCACAGACACATTTCTTTTTGCGAATTTTGAATCAATAAAACGTGCTTTAATCATTATTTTGTGTCACATCACTGAATGTTTTAGTAGTAAGCCATGTTCTAAGCGGGATAATGTATACAGTTGAAAAATAACTTCCGACAGGGGATTGACGCTGTACGTTGGGGTTCCAATCCCCTGTTGGGAGTTATTTTTCAACTGTCACCGGCTCACTATACATTATCCCTTACATAATTAACTTCAGTCTGAGCAAATTAAGAGACACACTGTGACCTCCAAACATGACAAGAGTAACAGTACATATTACAAGCTCACCTCAACCTCACTCACTCTGACATGGCTGATTGAACACTGTGAAGCTGTTTGATGCTCAGAGATCTGTAGAAGTCCAATAAGGAGTTTTTGAGCTGTGATGTGAATGAACGACAACATTGCTCTGTAACATTGGTGTGTGTGTGTGTGTGTGTGTGTGTGTGTGTTTGTGTGTTTGGTGTGTGTGTGTTTCCTGTTTCCTGCAGACGTCCAGCAGCTGTCAGTGGTTAAAGAAGAGGTTCCCCCTGAGCAGCAGGAGTGGAGCTCCAGTGTGGACCAGGAGGACCCAGAGCCTCCACATATTAAAGGGGAACAGGAGAAACTCTGGATCAGTCAGGAGGGAGAGCAGCTTCAAGAGCTGGAGGAGGATGATATCACCAAGTTCACATCCACTCCTGTCCCTGTGAAGAGTGAAGATGATGAAGAGAAACCTCAGTCCTCACAGCTTCATCAAAGACGCACTGAACAGATGGAAACAGAAGCGGAGGGAGAGGACTGTGGAGGACCAGAACCAGAACCAGCCAGGAACTCAGATCCAGAAACTCATTTACAACCAGTGACTGATGACAGTGATGATTGGACGGAGACCAGAGAACCTCAGTCAGGTTTAAATTCTCTGAAAAATGATCAAGTCCCTGTCAGTGATTTGATTGTTGGTGAGAAACCATTTAGCTGCTCTGAGTGTGGGAAAAGATTTGGTCTACGTGGAAATTTGAAGAGACACATGAGATCTCATACAGGTGAGAAACCATTTAGCTGCTCTGAGTGTGGGAAAAGATTTGGTCAAAATGTAAATCTGAAGAAACACATCAGATCTCATACAGGAGAGAAACCATTTAGCTGCTCTGAGTGTGGGAAAAGATTTGGTCACAGTGAAACTCTGAAGACACACATGAGATCTCATACAGGAGAGAAACCATTTAGCTGCTCTGAGTGTGGGAAAAAATTTGGTAAGAGTGGGGATCTGAAGATACACATGAGATCTCATACAGGTGAAAAACCATTTAGCTGCTCTGAGTGTGGGAAAAGATTTGGTGTAAGGGGAAGTTTGAAGAAACACATGAAATATCATACAGAAGAGAAACCATTTAGCTGCTCTGAGTGTGGCAAAAGATTTGATCAAAGTGGAGATTTGAAGAGACACATGAGATGTCATACAGGAGAAAAACCATTTTGCTGCTCTGAGTGTGGGAAAGGATTTCGTCAAAACGCACATCTAAAGAAACACATTAGATCTCACTCAGGAGACAAACCATTTAACTGCTCTGAGACTGGGTAAAGATATGATCACAGTGGAGATCTGAAGAGACACATGAGATCTCATACTGGAGAGACTCCATTGAGCTGCTCAATTTGTGGAAAATCATTTACAAAAACTGAAAATTTACATTTATATATGAGAATTCATGATGGAGAAAAGTGATTCAGCTGTTCAGTTTGAAAAAAAATATTTTATTTGGATTAAGATTTCAAAAACACCCATGAGAACTCAAACAGGACAAAGTCTTTTTAGCTTCAGTGTTCGTATGAATTTTTTTTACACAGACTGGATAAACAGGAGAGACACACTGTAGCTGCAGTGTTTCTCACTTAAGATTCACTTTGCCTAAACCTTTTTTAACCTGAGACTCAGGACAAGGCTGGCAGACTGTTACTGCCCCATTATTAATGTACTTATGTATGTATGTAATGTATGTAATGTATATATTTACTTACTTACTTACTTACTTACCAAGATGAGTCTTGTAGAGCCAGGGGGAGTATTTCCCCTCTGACAGCCAAGCTGAGTCAAAACCTGTTATCCGGTGGTGACTGGACTTTTGCTGCTTTTCAGGGGCAGGGCATGCAGCACATTGGCTCTTTTCTGTACTTGGGGAACTCTCTCCCTTCTTTCCTTCTCTTATCTTTTGTGCATCAGCTCTGTGAACAACAACACAAACTAACTGTCCAGTTGAAGGGCAGCTGAAGACCAGCGACTCATTGTGTTCGGTGAGTTAAAATTACTGATTCTGTCAGTGGAGTCTGGTTGCTTTTAGGAGAGCATCATGTAACTGCATCAGTTTTCAGTTGTAAAGGGCTGTCTCACGGCATGGTTAGGTGTTGAAAATACTTTTAATGTAGTGTCCACTTAAACTGATGTGGATTTTTTCAGGTGATCCTTTTTTTATGTGGCTTGACTAGGTTTTGCTGCTGCCCCCGTCCACAGTCACAGAAACAGTTATTTTTTTCCTCATAGCTCCCATGCCATTGTTGGTCTCTTTTGTGTCCATCTGTATCATTCTGTGTTCGCTCTTGAAATTCAGAGGTTTTACATGTGTACAAAGGCAGTGCATGTGGAACTCTTTGTGAATTGTTTTTTTTTCCCCCTCAGTAGCAGTAGTATGAGTCTTGGGGTGGATAATTGATCAGCTGCTCCGACCAGAATTGATCTGATCAGTGTATGAGAGGAGCAGCTGCTGCAGAGGCGAGTGAAAGCAAGGGAAGTAATAAAGCAACTCAGGACATAAAATAAGCACAGCAGAAACATCAGATAGGACAAATCACCGAGTTGAACCATATATCTTTAAACGTTTCAGTTACAGCTGAAAATAACGACAGAAATAAACAGGTTTGCTGAATTTACATATCTCTGCAATTCAAACAGTTTGCAGTTTCTACCTGGAAGGTTTAGATCAAGGTTACGGTGATTCAGTCTGCGAAGATGTCATCAATATTCATGTGAGCATACGATGTCATCTTGTGACTTTTTGGAACTAGTACTAGCTACTTTCATTGGAAGTACAAGAAAACAATACTACTGAATGGAGCAACACTCAGCTCTGAAAAAAGTTATACTGATGGATTGTGTGTTAAAGGTTTGTTTTTATTTCCTGAATGTTACACTTATGGACTATCTGTGTAAACTTCCCATCAAGATGTTTAAGGTTGGATGTAACCATTCTGATGTTATACTTATGGATTCCCTGTGTAAACTGTCTACTAATATTTAGTGATCTGAATTTTGTGTACTTGTATACATGGTCTGTGTGGATTTTATATTCTCTTTTTCCATCCTTGTAATATTTTACTGAGTTAACTCATGGATTAGGGTATACACTGGAAAGTGCCTTGATTAAGCCCCTCTGGTTTTTTTTGCATCTCCCCATCATGTTTCTGTTGCTCATGTATGACTTTTTTGCATATGTGAAAACAAATAAACTAAACTAGAAAACAACTGGAACAGTTCAATAATAATGATGATAATAATAATGACTTTATGAAGGACACAGTGAGAGGTCCATAGCATACCACACAAAACACAATAATCTATGAACAAAATAAGATATAATAACTACAATATATAAAAATATTGAGAAAATAAAGACAAAAGAAAAACAACAGCATGTCATTTTACAAATTCATAAAACTGGAACGATTCAATAAACTTCACCCACAAACAAGCTGGAGTGCCAGTGGCCCCACTGTCGAGATGAAAACCTGACTGAGCTCAGCCATCTATAGGCCACATTAAGTCTTTGCATATTGTTCTTCCTATAGGAGCGCCACAAGTGGGCAGTATATAGCGGAGTGCAAAATGCTCTAAAAAGAGCTATCTAATTTTGTGAGCAAGCATATCAGCTTGTGCATACAACTTCCAACACTGTCTGTCTGTGGATGTCTCTATCATCAGATAAATCATTGGCAGTATAGACCAAGATGTTTAATGTCATTACACACTTTAAGAGCACCACCATAAATGTCATTCTTTCAAAAAGTGTATTTTAATCTATAGTGGCAATCTAGCAACAAAAAATGCCACTTGAGGGAATTTGAAGACATTTCCAACTCGTGATGGTGTGTAAAAATGAGGCCCGCCATGGATGTGCGTTTAACACTTTATTAACTTGCCAATCTTAAAAACACCTACAAAAGGCCGGGTGCCGAATGACTTAAAACAAGTTCGTATACAAAAGGACAAAAATACCAATATGACAAACCCATTTATACGGTCACACACACAAGCACGGTTTAAAAACTGTGTGGCTTCCCTAGATCCTAGTCACCTGTGTCTCACTTATTTAACCTCTGCCTGGCTGATTACTACCTATGCCCAGATGTGCAGGTAACCATAGCAATAATAGTGCCTCACCAAAGACACACACCCACATTTACACATAGAAACACACACATGCCGCATGAATCTAAATTGGCTACAACATAATCATTTTTCGTCCTGGGTGTGTTTTTCTGAGTAACCCTGCAATTTCTAGTCTGGTGGTGTAAATGGCCGTTTTGGTAAGGAACCGGAAAAAGGGCGAGTGAGACAGGATCCGGAATTCGATGGATGCGCCTTTCCGTCAAAATAAAAGCACCAAGCTAATAAAAATGCGGTGAAACTTTTTAATTTAAAGAATATAATTTACAAACAAAGCTCCAAGCCATTAAGTTAATCGATTTTCTTACACCCCTCATCACCCCAAATCGATGGTGGGCCAGAATTTAAAGTTTTACTTTGGTGAACACTTTTACTTTGGTGAATTTGGTGAATTCCGCATCCGCTCTCTAGACCGGAACCAGAATCCAGACAAAATTCAGAGTGAATAGAAACTAGGCTCTTCGCCTTCCGCGAAGTGCCTGGTGACGCGAGGCTAGCAATTTCATGAACACTTACGGACTTTTATTTTGAAGCGCATTCACTCACCTCTACCGAAGCTGTATTGTGTACTTCTGCGAACATCACACTGTTTGAACAAGATGGCGTCTGATAGAAACGTGTGTTAGCAGAGTTTCTTTGTTTTTAAAGTGTGAACATGTCTAAAGTCCAAATGCTGCGATCGTTGGTGAAGCAGCGACTAACTGCGGCTGCTGAAGAGATATTTGGGCTGTTTGAAAGAACGATAGCAGAGTACGAGGAGGAACTTTGTCGATCAAAAGAGGAGAACGAGCGACAACGGAAACTACTGGACGCTGTTTTCAACCCTCAGCTTCGGTTACACAGAGCAGGTTTGTTCATTGAACATTACAAGTTCATTATTAATGATATAACTGCAGGTTTGTTCAATAAATATTCAGTCTGTCGACGATTAAAGTCACGTTAGTTTCTCTGGTGTCGTTAGCTTCTGTGATGTCGTTAGCTTCTCTGGTGCCGTTAGCTTCTCTGGTGTCGTTAGCTTCTGTGGTGTCGTTAGCTTCTGTGGTGCTGTTAGCTTCTCTGGTGCCGTTAGCTTCTCTGGTGTCGTTAGCTTCTCTGGTGTCGTTAGCTTCTCTGGTGCCGTTTGGCTTCTCTGGTGTCGTTAGCTTCTCTGGTGTCGTTAGCTTCTCTGGTGCCGTTAGCTTCTCTGGTGTCGTTAGCTTCTCTGGTGCCGTTAGCTTCTCTGGTGTCGTTAGCTTCTCTGGTCTCGTTAGCTTCTCTGATGTTGTTGTCTTATGGAATCCGGAAGGGTTCTAAACGTCTGTTTTTGTCGTCCGTATTAACGCGTCAAATACACATTAAGACAACAGAAATGGCCTGTTAACAGGTACATTTCTGACGTACCAAGACGTTTACTATTGGGTGCAGCCATTTCACCAGTTTCGGAGGGGAAGCTGATGTAACAGTATTCGGTATACATTTATTATTATATTGGCCAAATTTCACATTCATAGATGTAAGTTCACAAATAACAAATCCTTGCTTTATTGCCTTTGATAAAGAGATTAAACATTACATGCATTCAGTTCAGTACTCACAAAAACCAAAAGCAATAAGAACAATGGCTACTTGCAATATATTAAACATTTTTTGTAGCTCTTTTTTATACTCTGTACCCCCTAGCATCGTTTTATAATGTTATAATGTTTATAATGTTAGTTACTAAAATGGACAGGCAGAGGGTACTTGCTGCAGCTCTGGTTGATACATTGATACATTTACTATCGGACATTGAATGTAAGAGAGCACAACTAAACAGTCTAAACAGTTCCTGTTAACTGCTTTACCACTGTGTCCATGCAACATAATTCAGATAGACGGGGTGGCAACAATGGGTTAACAATGAGTTAAACCTTGTTTGTTTAACTTTCCTTATATTAGTGATCATGTGATTATTATGCTGTCTATAATCATCTGTCCTATGCCTGATGAATTTTCTTATCAGTCTTTTACATTAGCTTACATTTGAGCCATTATTTCCATGTTCTTGATCTTGTGATTTTATCCTGAATTTTCAAGTTGCAGTCAGTCAGTCAGTCAGGGTATCAGTGAGCGTGTGAATGGCGGTCCTGCGTGTTGGAGTCTCCGTATCCATGGCAGCGATGACGCTGAGCGGCGGACCTGCCATTCTGTGTCATGCTCCTCTGCAAATTCTGATTTAATATTTTTCTGCTATGTTCCATGAAACTCTTTTGGTTTAATATTTCTCATGTCATTCCCAGTACATGAAAACATGGTTTATGCAGCAGTGTGTGCACAGAAATAAGGGACAAATTGCGTTCTGTATTGATTTAGTAAGGGACAGTACATTTTAAATGTGGGATGGTCCCGTATTATATGGGACAGTGGCAACCCTACGTGAGAAGCAAACACACTTGGGTAAAAAGGAAAACAACAATAAATGCTGTGAGATGGCAGTCTGAGGTGACAGAGGTATGATCAAGTTGTCCGAGGTCTGAGGTGTGACAGGTGGTATGTTCCATGTTTTATTTCCAAATCACTCCAGAAAAGAGGATTAGCAAACTGTTAGTGTACCGTTCCGTACCATTATGATAGGAAAACGTCTGTTCTGGTTCAGCGCTGGAAGCTCCATTTATAATTCATGCAAGGTATCATGGGGGCTAAGAATAACGTGGATACAAAGCTCAGTTTTCCTGAGTTTTCCTGACACCACATTTGTGTTGAGGAGAATTTTTTTATATAATTTTATTTTATTTACTCAGGCTGCCAGTAATAAAACTTGACGCATGGCAAACTCTTGCATCCTATGGACAATCATTCTCACATAATTCACTTTAGCCTGAGCAAATAAAGAGCCACACTGTAACCTCCAGACATGATTTCTCTGTAACGTGTGTGTGTGTGTGTGTGTGTGTGTTTTAACTGTTTCCTGCAGACGTCCAGCAGCTGTTGGTGGTTAAAGAAGAGGTTCCCCCTGAGCAGCAGGAGTGGAGCTCCAGTGTGGACCAGGAGGACCCAGTGCCTCCACACATTAAAGAGGAACAGGAGGATCTCTGGATCAGTCAGGAGGGAGAGCAGCTTCAAGGGCTGGAGGAGGATGATATCACCAAGTTCACATCCACTCCTGTCCCTGTGAAGAGTGAAGATGATGAAGAGAAACCTCAGTCCTCACAGCTTCATCAAAGACACACTGAACAGATGGAAACAGAAGCAGAGGGAGAGGACTGTGGAGAACCAACCAGGAACTCAGATTTGGATAGACATTTACAACCTGAGACTGATGACAAGACTGGGGCGTCTTCTGAACCAGAGACTGATGACAGTGATGACTGGAAGGAGACCAGAGAACCTCAGTCAGGTTTAAACTCTCTGAAAAATGATCAAGTCTCTTTCAGTGATTTGATTGTTGGTGAGAAACGATTTAGCTGCTCTGAGTGTGGGAAAAGATTTGGTCAGAGGGGACATCTGACGATTCACATGAGGTCTCATACAGGAGAGAAACCATTTAGCTGCTCTGAGTGTGGGAAAAGATTTAGTCAGAGGGGAAATCTGACGATTCATATGAGATCTCATACAGGAGAGAAACCATTTAGCTGCTCTGAGTGTGGGAAAGGATTTTGTCACAGTGGAGATCTCGAGAGGCATATGAGAACTCATACAGGAGAGAAACCATTTAGCTGCTCTGAGTGTGGGAAAAGATTTGGTCTTCGCGGAGTTCTGAAGGAGCACATGATAGCTCATACAGGAGAGAAACCATTTAGCTGCTCTGAGTGTGGGAAAAAATTTGGTTACAATGGAGATCTGAGGAAACACATGAGATCTCATACAGGAGAGAAACCCTTTGGCTGCTCTGAGTGTGAGAAAAGATTTTATCACAGTGGAGATTTGAAGAAACACATGACATGTCATTCAGGAGAGAAACCATTCAGCTGCTCTGAGTGTGGGAAAAGATTTGGTGAAAAGGGAAATTTAAATAAACACATGAGATCTCATACAGAAGAGAAACCATTTAGCTGCTCTGAGTGTGGCAGAAGATTTGGTCTCAGAGGAGATCTGACGAGACATGTGAGAACTCATACAGGAGAAAAACCATTTTGCTGTTCTGAGTGTGGGAAAAAATTTAGTCGTAGTGGAACTCTGAAGGACCACATGCGATCTCATACAGGAGAGATGCCATTTAGTTGCTCCAAGTGTGGGAAAAGATTTGGTTACAGTGGAGATTTGAAGAACCACATGAGATCTCATTCAGAAGAGAAACCACTTATCTGATGCTAGTGTGGAAAAAGATGTGGTCAAAATCTGAAGAAACACAAGATCTCATACAGGAGAGAAACCATATAGCTGCTCTGAGTGTGGCAAAAGCTTAAGTAAAAGTGGAGATCTGATGAGACACGAGATCTCATACAGGAGGAAAAACATTTAGCTGTTCTGAATGGGGAAAAAAAGATTTGGTCAAAAGTTATATCTGCTGGAACGCATGAGATCTCATACAGAGAGAAACCATATAGCTTCTCTGAGTGTGGCAAAAACTTTGGTAAAAGTGGAGATTTGAAGAGACACATGAGATGTCATACAGGGAAAAAAACATTTTGCTGCTCACTTTGTGGGACATCATTTACACAAAGTGGAAATTTACATACACACATGAAAATTCATGAAGGAGAAAAGTGATTCAGCTGTTGAGTCTGGAAAAAAAATTATTTTGAATAAGATTTCAAAAACACTCATGAGAAGTCATACAGGAGAAAGTCTTTTTAATTTCAGTGTCTGTATGAAATCTTTTACACAGACTGGACAGTTACACAAACACATTCAAACCCACACAGGAGAGACACACTGAAGCTGCAGTGTTTCTCACTGAAGATTCACTTGGCCTAAATCTTTTTCAACCTGAGACTCGGGACAAGAGCAGTACATCATGTGATACACAATACTGATCAAAAATAGTTAAGTTACTTAGTGTGTGGTAAAAAGATTTGTCCGTTAAAGATGCTCACAGTATTTATAGTCCACAACTCCTCTGCAGAGCCTCTCCCATCTTTCCTACTCTCATTTTTTGTGCAGACCATTCCCCACTGACACTCTCATTGTTAATACTTGAAAACATCCAGGGACCATACACGTGGCAGCTGAACCCAACTTTGCTCAAAAAGCTGATTTTTGTAAATTCGTGAGAAACCAAATTAAGTTCGTCTGTGAAACAAACTGTGCCTCTTCCCCCAGTAGCTTTGTATTGTGGGACACAATGGAAGCCTTCTTAAGAGGGCAGATAATTTCTTATACCAATAGTTTAAAAAGACATGGCTAAAATGAATGAGCTTGAGAAACAAGTCCTATATTTGGAATAAGAACAACATATGTCACGCTCAAGAGAGACCTACTAAACTTGAGTAAACAAAAACCTCAAATATAACCTATTGAACACATACAGAATAGAAATAAATATTCTTTGAACCAAACACAGATGCTATGAATTGGGGGGAAAGGCGCAGAAAGTCTTGGCTTGGCAGTTGAAGAAATCAAGAATTGTTAATTCCATAGAGACTGAAAATGGGACTGTAGCAAGAAACCCAAAAGAAATGAATGATTGCTTTAAACACTATTATTTTGCATTATATACATCAAAGTCCACAGGTGACCCTACCACAATTGATACGTTCTTATTAACTATTGAACTACCAAACTTAACGGAGAGTTCCATCAGTTAACGCCATAGACTGTTGGAGTGGCTCTAGATGTGACAGCGTTGTGATTGGACACCAAACAATCAATCAGAATTGACATTCTCCGATCTGATTGGTTGGTTTTGTGGCACAAATATAACGCTGTGCCAGTGTTGAATGTGTGTGCTGGCAGACTTGAGCATGCACAGAGTGGAGAGGTTGAGAGAGAGCAGGAGACCATTTGAGTGAGTGTGGACTAGTCTGACTGCGTGAGAGGGGGGTTATTGCTGCACGCTAATATAGATAATGGTAAACATGCAAATAAATTTATTGAGCACAGAATAGGGTTTTTTTTGCTCAAAAAAATAAATTGTGTGCATATAATTTCTCCTCAAAATGTAGTTTATGTGCGTGTAAAACATATTGTTCTGTGCTCGAAATCTCAAACAACTCGCTCAGGACTGTGGCACAACTATAACGCCATATAGATCAAGGTCACGGTGATTCAGTCTGCAAAGACATCATCAATATCTATGTAAGCATATGATGTCATCTGGAGACTTTAAGTGACTTGTTGTGAACTACAGCCAAGAAAACAATACTATTAAGAATCAGAAACGAAATCATCATCTTCCAATGGTTGGGTCAACAAACGCAGCAGATAACAATGGAACAACACTCAGCTCTGAAAAAAAGTTATAGTGATGGACTATCTGTGTAAACTGCCCATCAAGATATTAAAGGCTGGATGTAACCATTCTGATGTTATACTTATGGATTCCCTGTGTAAACTGTCTACTAATATTTAGTGATCTTAATTTTGTGAACTTGTATACATGCTTTGTATGGATTTTATCATTGTCTTTCTCTTTTACCATCCTTGTAATATTTTACTGAGCTAACTAATGGATAGGGGTATACACTGTAAAGTGCCTTGATTAAGCCCCTCTGTTTTTTTGCATCTCCCCATCATATTTCTGTTGCTCATGTATGACTGTTTTTTGTATATGTGAAAACAAATAAACTAAACTAATAAACAACGGGAACAGTTCAATAATAATAATAACGATAATAATAATAATGACTTTATTAAGGACACAGAGAGAGGTCCATAGCATACCACACAAAATACAATAATCTATGTACAAAATAAGATATAATAGCTACAATATATAAAAATGTTGAGAAAATAAAGACAAAACAACAACATGTCATTCTACAAATTCATAAAACTGGACCGAATTCAATAAACTGCACCCACAAACAAGCTGGAGTGCCAGTGGCCCCACTGTCGAGATGAAAACCTGACTGAACTCAGCTCAGGGTCAGCCAAGGCCTGGATGATACTCTTCTCTGAGACAGCGAGCCTGCACATATATCACCTCACAGGTGTGGCATATCAAGATGCTGATTAGACAGCATGAATATTGCACAGGTGTGCCTTAGGCTGGCCACAATAAAAGGCCACTCTGAAATGTGCAGTTTTGCTTTACTGGGGGGGCTGGGGCAAACACTCACACATAAATCTAAATTGGCTACAACATAATCATTTTTCGTCCTGGGTGTGTTTTTCTGAGTAAGCCTGCAACTTCATTAACACTTCTGGACTTTTATTTTGAAGCTGATTAACTCATTTACCCCGGAAGCTGTCTTCTTTACTGTCGCTAAAGTCACAGTGTTTGAACAAGATGGCGTCTGTTGGAAACGTGTGTTAGCAGAGTCTCTTTGTTGTGTTTTTAAAGTGTGAACATGTCTAAAGTCCAAATGCTGAGATCGTTGAAGCAGCGACTAACTGCGGCTGCTGAAGAGATATCTGGGCTGGTTGAAAGAACGATAGCAGAGTACGAGGAGGAACTTTGTCGATCAAAAGAGGAGAACGAGCGACAACGGAAACTACTGGACGCTGTTTCCAACCCTCAGCTTCGGTTACACAGAGCAGGTTTGTTCATTAAACATTACAAGTTCATTATTAATAATATAACTGCAGCTTTGTTCAATAAATATTCAGTCTGTCGACGACGCCGCGTTAGCTTCTCTGGTGTCGTTAGCTTCTCTGGTGTCGTTAGCTTCTCTGGTGCCGTTAGCTTCTCTGGTGTCGTTTGCTTCAGTGCTTATTTTATACTTTCTCTTGTTGTTACTTTCCCATCAGAACCCTTTAATTTAGGGTGACCATATTTTGATTTCCAAAAAAGAGGACACTCGCCCCGGCCACAAGATAGCCTACTTAAATCATACTTGCAGTTTACTCAAAGATGCCTTATAATTTTAATATTTTTAAAGTTTATATGTATGAATAGAAAATTCAGTTATATTACAAAATAATATCTCTCAAAGACAGAAATTTACATAGCCTAGTCTTCTCAGAGGTTACTCAACTTACTTTTATTATGCCTAAAATAATAATCTTTTTAC